GTTTCACGCGCTCTAAGCCTGGCCTGCGCGCGGTTAGGAAGATTGGCCTCAATCTGAGCGGTACCACACCGCCGCACCGATCATTCGGGGGGAGGCGGGATACTGCGAGGTGGGGTCAAGGCAGTCTTTAATCCATAGATACATGCCCTTTTTAGAGCATATAAGAGGAGGTCGAATTCCAAATATTTTCTCTCGAGTATACCCATTACCAAAAAAGATTGTAGTTATAAAGCTGCGCCCCCTAGAATAAAATAAAGATAGAGCCATCATAGTATTTTTTAACTCCACTACGAAGAAGTTTCGGAAGTTACGAAGGAAGCTTCGAGCTCATATTGGTCATGAGGACTATGCCATTCTTGGCGACGGTGATCGCCGTACTTGTGATGGTTTCCAAGGATCCAATATGACCACTTAGGTTAGGTCTTCACCCCCTTCTTTAGCGCTTGTTCGTTCTATAAGACTTCCTTCTCGTTCTCGGTAAAGGAATCGGAGCTGCTATAGAATCAGCATCTTACTCTTTAACGACAAGCTCAGCAACGAGAAGTTTTTCTCTGCTGGAAAGCATTTACTCGTCTGGGAAGCAATCCTTAAACTCATGTTCCTCCTTCATATCATATTAAAAAAAAAAGTAAAAAACGACCATCTCCAAAAGATATGCCTCAATCTGTGGCAGATCATGGCTGATCCCTCTATGATGGCATTCTTCTTCCTCTCTGACTTTACGATATTATTCTAGCAAAAGCTAGTGATTAGCTGACAGTATCTTATCTATTCATTTTTTGGCGATGTCCCGACACTGATGAGCATCACTTAGGCCTTCATTCATGATACTCTGCTAGGATCTGCAGCGCTTCAGTAGGCCCTACTTGTTATATACTAGTCAATTAAATAAATCGGTTGAATTGTTGTTCATATTGAAAGGAGTCGAGATTGATAAGGAGTTATTTAATGATTCTCGAACATGTACCCCCTAGATTCAGAACTTTCTTTCAATACTCACAATCCTTATTAATCAAGGGGGGTAGCCGAGTCTGAGACACCATAGCTGCCCCACCATATCATTTTTGTATTATCTTATTCTTCGATTTCTATTAGTACATATTTTTTCTCTTGGTTCGATTATTTTATTTCTTATTTTCATTAGTCTCAACATGGCTTCTTCACTTTTATTTTTCTTCTTTAAAACTGCTGACAAATATTTTTCTTGTGCCAAGGGTCTTCATTTCTTCACATTCATCTGTAGTAGGATGGCAAATGGGCGGGGCGGATCGGATAAGAGAGGGTCGAAAACGGATAATATAAAAAGAAATAAATTATTCGACCCGACCCATATGTAATATAGATAAAAAATAAGTTAACCAGCGGATAATATGGATATTCATATTATCCATGGCTTCTTGAATATGATCACCTTTGGGAGAATTTATATTCTCCCAAACTTGAGGAACCCCCAATTTGAGGCTTTACAAATCTAAAGTTAAACCTATTAGTTAACCATTGGTTATCCATTTTCTAAGTGGATAATATGGTTTTAATCCATATTTGGCCCATTTTTAAAAAGTTCATTATTCAACTCATTTTTTAATGGATAATAAAGGTGGATAACTGTTTTCTTTTAACCACTTTGCCACCATAATCTGTACCATTAAAAATCATCTCTTTTTGTCTTGATAAATTTGGGGGAAATGCAAAACCTCAACCTACATTATTTAGGTGCGACTTTAATTAATGGTCATTCCATAAAGGGAGATTTTGCATCTATACTCGGTTTTGAGATCACAATTGCAAATATACTTACAATTTCATATGTAGTAGGATGGCAAATGGGCGGGGCGGATCGGATAAGAGAGGGTCGAAAACGGATAATACAAAAAGAAATAAATTATTCGACCCGACCCATATTTAATATGGATAAAAAATAAGTTAACCAGCGGATAATATGGATATTCATATTATCCATGGCTTCTTGAATATGATCACCTTTAGGAGAATTCATATTCTCCCAAACTTGAGGAACCCCCAATTTGAGGCTTTACAAATCTAAAGTTAAACCTATTAGTTAACCATTGGTTATCCATTTTCTAAGTGGATAATATGGTTTTAATCCATATTTTGCCCATTTTTAAAAAGTTCATTATTCAACTCATTTTTTAATGGATAATAAAGGTGGATAACTGTTTTCTTTTAACCACTTTACCACCATAATCTGTACCATTAAAAATCATCTCTTTTTGTCTTGATAAATTTGGGGGAAATGCAAAACCTCTACCTACATTATTTAGGTGCGACTTTAATTAATGGTCATTCCATAAAGGGAGATTTTACATCTATACTCGGTTTTGGGATCACAATTGCAAATATACTCACTTTGCAAAAATATTTGCAAGCCTACCCACTTTATGATCAATTTAGACTTATCGGGTTTGAAATTAAAAAAAATTGTCTGAAGTGAAACAAATTGCACTTCAGATGCACTTAAGGCCAAATAGGTCTGAAGTGCAACCAATGGTTTCATGTACTTGAGGCCAATAAGTCTGAAGTGAAAAATTGCACTTCAGATACACTTAAGGCCAAAAGGTCTGAAGTGCAACCAATGGTTTCATGTACTTGAGGCCAATAAGTCTGAAGTGAAAAATTGCACTTCAGATACACTTAAGGCCAAAAGGTCTGAAGTGCAACGAACGTTTCCCTACACTTAAGGCTAATATGTCTGAAGTAAAAAATTGCACTTCAGATGCGCTTAAGACCAAAAGGTCTGAAGTGCAACCAACATTTTCATGCACTTAAGGCCAAATAGGCTTGAAGTGCAAATTGTGCAGAAACATAAATTTATTCTTCGAATTATAACAATACAATATACCATTTAATACCTAAATCTACTCCAAATGAGCTCAAATTTGAAACATAACCTCAAAATATCATCAACAACAAATCTCAATCATCAATATGTCAAAACAACAATAAATCTAACGAACCCATTTTGTAATTAAGAAAAAGAAGAAGAAGAAACCCTAAGCAATAGTAAAAAATAAAGTGTCATTACAGTTCACCACCGTAAAATATCATAAACTACCTTAAATATGTTTACAAACACCATATAAAATCATTGTCACCCGAAGAAGAAGAAGAAGAAGAAGAAAGAGGAGAAAAATGTCTGAAGTTATTTAAAAAGTAGGTACAAGTTAAAAATAAAAATAAAAAATGAGTATAGATTAAATGGGGACAACCAAATAGGACGTTCGTGTAATTTTTACTCCGTAAAACCAGGAAATCTAATTTTGAGGTAAAGGAAAATAAAACAAAGCCATCGATACGTCAATTATGGACACAAATTACCATAACAGCTGGGCTTCTTTTACTTCGCATCATTCAAAATCTTTAATTTTACTCAAGATCATTACAAGCACTCTACAGCTTAGTTTTTCATTATTCCATTACTCAAGTTAGATTGAAGATTGAAAAAGCTGACTCTGATGCCTAGTGCCTCCTTATAACTAAGGATTAGTGCTAATAGGATTGATGTTACAACTCTCTCATCACTGATTCATAATCTTAACTACTTCCATTCACTTTCTTGAAATTTAATCCAAAATCAGTGCTAGTACAAGTCTCTACTATCCCACTCTTTGCACCAGCTGGGCCAAGAATGCTCAAAGTCCTAAACCACTTATTCAGTTTCTATTGGCTAAAACACATTCTTAGCCACTTGTGATTAGGGGTGGGCTAATTTGTGCAAACTCGAAATTTGAACCAAATTTTGTATTTTTTGGGTTTTTGCATTTTGTACTTAGCCTTGCCCATTAGACATTAACTCACTACTCATATGTCCAATATTATTTAAGTCAAATACCCTGCCTATTAAACGTTAGTTCATATATCTAATAATTTTTAATCAGCAAGTCACGATCACAATACAATCTATTTGGATATCATTTTACTATGTAAGGCTTATTAGTTTTTAGGTCCTTCTGTTATATTTTCTTGATAATGATTTCATTGATTGCATTAATATACTTTATTTGGATAATTGTGGCGGGAATAAAAAACTATTAGGACAATTTGACATGAATACTTTATTTGAAAATTTATTTTTGTAATTAGATCAAGAAGATGCTCAATTTATAGGCTCACAATAAAAAATTTGAAATATGGAATCAATTAGTCTGAAACTAAACTTAAAGAATCCGATCAAACTGGAGCTTATTTTGATAAGAATTGGATTGTAATTTTTTCAATCCGAAAGCCTAAAATCAAAACGAAATTTTTATATCCAATCTGAATTACCCGAATGCCCATCCCTACTTGTGATTTCAAGAAATTTTATTTATTCTATTTCTCCTCTAGGTATCTAATTTTATATAAAAGTTAATATATGAAGACACATGTATATGAACAAAAGTTAATATATGAAGACACATGTATATGAACTTGAAACAAATTAACTAGTATTATCAACCCAATTTTAACAAGTTATGTGAAACTGAAAGCAAGTGACTACATGAATATCACAATGGTAGTCACAAATTTTTACAAGTTTCAAACTTTAACAACTTAATCAAGTGTCTGCCTATTAGAGGTGATTCTTGTACGATAAATTCATCTAGACAATAAAAGTGTTGAGTTTTGGGCAAGAAACTGTCTTTATTCAATTTGATTCATATATTCCAGGAAAACTTTTCTTTTTTCTGGAAAACAGAACAACTTGGTTACCAAGTAAATGGCTAATACAGCCCCATGACTTGCATTGTGCAATTTGTGATGAGAGCAAACTTCATATTTTGAATGGTTACTGAGTCAGTAAACATACAGAACACAAAGCATCCCACGATCACGTAGGGTCCGAGGAAAGACTGCATCCAAACGGTGTGATGTAAACAGCCTACCCTAGTGATGCAAACATTAGTGACTGCTTCCACAGCTCAAACCCGTGACTATAGTAAATTAGACATACAGTAGGCAACAGAAATCAACACTAATGATAAACCAAAAGGCTTCATAAATTAAGATCAAGTTTCAATTACAGAGAGACAACAACAATTACAAATAGAAACCTCATATACAAACAACAGCAATGGCTAAAACAGTAATCCAATCTAAACTTTTGATAATGCACACTAGAGAAACAGGAATAAATAGAATAATATAAAAAGATAAGAGCATCACTTTTCTTTGTCACTTGCTATCTAAAATACTTGTTCAGTATGCACTCCACTGAGAAAGTTTATGAAGAAGAAAAGCCAATGTATTAGGCCTTCTCTTCTTTGTTACTTGCTATCTAAAATACTTCCTTTCACATCTCTAACTTTGTGGATTAGAATGCCTCCTTGGACCACGAGGAGATGTCGAAAAAGACAATCATTTCTTGGCCGAATTACCTGTTCCCTTCTCTGGCTTGAAACCCAATGGACTTGGTAAATGGAACTTGATCATCTTTGCTGATTCTTTTACTGCCATGTAACTAGGAACATGTGGGAATCTCGCGAGGCTTTCATGATCTCTAATTGACGATATGCTATGCCTCCTTCCACGATCCGACTGAGCACTGGCAATGCTTCTTGAGCCGCCATCTACATTACTACTTCTCCTTGGACTTGCTAGCCTTATTCTCACTGGCTTTGGCCAAGGTATTGATGGTGATTGGCTTTGTTTATGAGCGGTTGGAGAAGGCACATTGTCAAGGTGGAAATCACGACGAGATTGATCAAATTCACCAACAGAAGTGGCATGGTTGGTTGGGATTTTTGCGGTGTTATGAACACTGTTAAATTCTTTGTCAAATGCACTTTTATCTTCCCATAGACGAGAAGCCATCCGTCGCTCCAAACAACTCCAACCCCACTGGGGATTATTCGGGTCTGTGAATGTCGGATTTGTAGCTTTTGAAGGATGCCTCTGTGTTTTCTGGTGTAAAAGTCTTGGATAATTAACATCATGTAACAAGAAATAAGTTTTGCCATAAAGTAACTTCATTAGTCCACTGAATGAAACTCCCCCGTCTCAATTTATGTGAAGGCGTTTGACTAGGCACGAAATTTGAAACTTGCGATCTAAAACAAGCCATAAAATTTTGTATGGTTGTAAATAATCTCATTCAGGGTAAAGTGAGTATTTTAATGTTAAATAGTTTCTAAATAAGGAAATATGACATTTTTTTTGGGACATGCTAAAAAGGAAACTATGACACATAAATTGAGATAGACGAAGTAGATGTTTATCATATGCCAAATGAAATGCAAGAAACGCCCATTCCTCCCTCCACCATAGAAACATCAAAAAAACATAGAGGAAAAAAGGAAGGTAAATGTCCTAAGTTTTGTTCACAAGAGTAGAGACTTTACAAATATATAAGTCCTACTAACGAGATCTGTATCAAAGCCACCCAAAGTCAAAAAACGAATCTTTGCGCTTGTTAAGTGTCCTACATTGGTCGAGGAATAGGCTGTTGTCTCTTTATATGGTCTTGAGCAATCTTTTTACTTAAGAAAATAGATGGTAATACTTTGTTCAGTAAGACGAACCCCTTGTTAAAGCATGATGTGAAAGCACTACCTGATGTGTGTATGCATAAGACAAAGCCCTTTCCCTTCTCAAGGCAGCCTCCTGCTTGCTTTGGAGGTTTGCTTCAACTTGTTCCCTTGACTGTGTGCTGTCATTCCAAATATCCCCAAATTTCTGCAAAATGTAAAATTGAGCCAAAGCCAAAAAGAAGAGGAAACTATGATAGTAGGTACTTACTATCCAAATGGAAGCAAATAATCAGAAATAAGTGGAATGATCAAAGCAGCTTTCAAAGTTAAAACAAGTTGTCATAGTAATAGCAGATGATTTTGAGACAAGACATAGAAATCAAGGATATATATATATAACTAGAAACAAATTAAAACATAGAAATGCAATCTATTCAGTTAGCGTTAAAAGGTGTACTCACATATGCTATCAACTTCTCCTGCTCCTTCTCGTTCTTCTGTTGGAAGTGTCTCGGGAGAGCCATGTTGTCCTCTAACATTCTAATTCTTCTGGTACGGGTCTCAGATTGAACATGAGCTAGGGTGTGCATATACCTTAAAGCGGAAGTGGTTTGCCGTTTGACAGATTGCCCTTCAATCATTTTCTTCAACCTCACTAGTCCTTTCAAAGCCCTGAATCCCCTCCTAGCCTGTATAAAATGAGGAACGTTAGTATAACGTATTCATCTCATGTGAGCTATTTTATTTGTTATTAGAGCTCTAGATATCTGAAAGTTCATAGTTTTCCGACATTGAGATTAATTTAAATAATTTTAACAAACTTGTAGAGATGTTGTACGATTTCGATTTAGAGAAGAGTGAAGACAATATAGGGAGCAGCACTAGCAATTTCAAACGCTAAAGCTAATCGACGTGTAAGCAAACCTTTCAACGCTCCTGGTATTGTATAAAAAAGGAAACAAAAACCACAGAATTGAAAGGAAAGGAAAAAGGTACAATCATGTAGTTTTAGCCTGTCAACTGATACATCTGAATAATATGTAATTATTTTATACTAGGCAGAATAGATCAGGACCTTCCTGAACTTGACGACTTTTATTCAGTACACACTTGAACTTTATGTTGGCCTAATTGCCCTCGTGAAGTTAGCAATTTGATAGCCTCGACCCCCCCTGGACGCTGATATGGCAAAGAGCGTGAATACACACTCTATTCTGCCTTATTAGCTTAAATTACATTACTAGATAGGTATCTTACCAGATATCCACGAAAAGCTGTTTGTATCTTGATAGCTGCAAACTCTTCCTTTGATTCACCTAGTTCACAGGCTGTAACAGCAGTAGCAAGCGCACCGGCGTAGGAATGCTTGTTTTGCTCATTCTCGGCTTCCACGAATCTCATCTGCTCTGTAGGAGGAGCAGCTGCAGGATCAGTTGTTGTGGTATGTGCACTGGAAGAATCCCAGTCGGCGCTCTTCTGCTTTGGAAACCATTTTCTAGATTTTTGGTTTTGCTGGTGGAAAAGAAATTTGCACGGTATGTAAAGCAATCCAAAAATAACATACCAAAAGCAGAAATAAACTGGAATTCAGATCATTCACTACCTTCTCTTTCTTCTTCTTCTTAGTACAAAGAACCATTTTCACTGCAGAAAAGCAGCTTCCCTTTTTTCCCATTCCTTATCTATGCATCACAAAGCAAAAAAAACAATCAATCAGTCAACTATGTTTTAATCACAAACTAGTACGTGTTGGTTAAATGAGTTCTTTGTAAGACATTCCAGTGACAAATTTATGGTTAAGAAAAACCAAACTGATTAGTGAAACCAGAAGACCTAGTTAAGCAAATTAAATAAAGCTAGCTGCTAAAAGTGAAAAGAATGCAAAACAATAACCAATTATCGCAATCACAAATACATTGATTGAGACTCAAAAACCAGCATCTTACTAGAAACTTAAGTCCATTCACAGCAGAGTCGGACCCAAGATTTGAAGGTGGCGGGGCACATGAGCGAACTACTAAACCAATGCGACTTTTGATTTTAACGGTTCCAATCAAAATATATGATCGTTTTTAACATATATATACACCTATATATTCAAAAACAATTGTTGAGTTAACGAGGTACGGTGACTGCTATTCCCGAGGCACAGGTCCGCCTCTGATTCAAAGTTTCTTTGCACAACCAAGGGATGATTTTTTTTTTTAGCAAATAACATCTGAAGAACTAAAAGGTTCAGCAAATTATTTGAACCTCAAGTAACAAACAATCAGAATATAAATAAATAAATAAAAAGAGAGCAAAAATGCCATAACACCAACACCAATAGAGACCGAGGGAGGCCAGAAAGTTTGTATAAACAGAATTAGACTCCACTAATAACAATTTAAGAAGAAAAATGAGACGACTATTTGAGATAGAAAATATCCTCAGAAATGGTTTTCTACATAAAACCGAACCACATTAATCAATAATATAGGGAATAACTAATTATTAAAAAACAAACATGATCATTCATTGGAAAAATGTCTACTTCACATTAACCTTTCATTATAAGACATCAGAAAAGCAATAAGCCAAAAGCATCAAGAAAACACAAAGCCAAAGAGGAAAGAAAAAAATTCATTGATTCATTCTAAATATACTCCACTTAATAACTCAATTCTAACAAATACCTCTGCAAAGTTTTGTCTCTGTTCTCTTAACAAAATAATCTGCCTACAAAAGGACTCAACAATGAAGTGTTAGAATATGATTGTGATGAAAACTTCAAACATTTGGAAGTAGTGCCTTGTGAATTGTAGACAAAACGAAAAAGAAATGGACTTGTGGAAGAAGAATAACAGACATGGGGGGTATTTTGGTATTTTTAGTCTGCCGGCTTTGGAGTTAGTTAAACTGCAGATAACTGACTTTCTGTCTTTCCCTTTTGGGGTTTGGAAATTTAACAGCAAATTTAGATGATGGTGTTTCATAATAGCACACAAATATATAAAAGCCACAAAGTCAACGGTTGGGTTAGAGAAGGAAGAAGCAACTACATTGTATACATGGTACTCAACTATCTGAAATTGGTGTTCATGATCTGCACTAGTATTAAAATACTTCATCTAATTTTCCATTTGGAGAAGCACCTTTAATTTATAAATCAAAAGTATTAAACTCTACTAAATTTGGAAGTACAATGAAGTGATGTGACACACTTACATAACTTGCTCTACTCCTCTTCTTGGTAAACTAAATTTCCTTTCTATAAATCTGTTTCCAAAAATTAATGCCTTATAATAAGTGAGTATTAAAATGATAATTCCAATAAAAAAATTTAACTAGATAACAACTACTTTAGCTAATCAAAGTGCAAACAAGTGACAGACAAGAAGAATGGAACCATAGGCTCCTATGGCTTCCTTGGTCACAGCTTCTCACTTAGCTTATTGCCAGACAACAATGTAAATCGACTCCTTACATAGAATGTTGATCAACACATTCAATGAACCAACCAGTATAATTGACAAACTACTTTCTTGTTCTAATACTGGAAGTTCCTCTATCTGTCAGCATACTCGTAGGCCTACGAGATGGTGGTTCGAGCAATGCTGGGATCAGTGAAGAACATAGTTGGTCCTTTGGTTGAAAGATTTAGTTATTTTTAAACCAGAAGCTTTTATCAAGTCAACAGCATTTTCAAAGACAATTCACATTTCAGCTATCCTTGCTACATATAACAAATGAGTTTGTTAAGATTCATGAAGCTGATGTTTCCTCAGTTTTTGCTCGTTTCGGTGGAGGTGAACACAAGTTTCTAACATCTGAGCCATGATCTTCACAAGTTTTCCTTTCCAGTAAGTTCCCTTCTTTGTTCTTGCCATGTGTAAGCTCGCCTCCAGAACTTGAAGCATCGTTTGAACAAACAGGATCCTGCTCCAGTGCTTCTGATTTGTCGTTGGAAGGAGAATGCTTCGTCTCGGTGGATGGTGAAGGATGTTCATCTGTTTTTAGTGATGATGATACCTTTAGATCTTTTCCCATGTCTTTTGTCTTCTCAAACATCATTTCGAGGTATTTACCCTGTTCTTCAATCCGCAACTGTAACTTTCTTTGGATCTGCAGAAAGGGATATGTTCTAATTATACAGATACTTGATAGAATTTTTTTTTAATAGCCATACTTGATAGGAAATGTAAGTTATGGAACAAGTATAATGAGAGGTGATTAAGGACCCTAACCAATCCAAAAGAGGTGATCTATTTTCTTCTGATAACGAACTAGGACCTGTTTACACTAGATTAAGTTGCATAATCAAGAGTTCAGTAAGGCACGGCCATAGGGTTGCATGGAATTTTATTCAAGAAAATATTATGGTTTAACACCCCTCTGTGCTCTCTAAAACCTTCTCATAGTTGAAAAGGAAGCTTGAATTTGCCTAATCCTTGGGTGGGCATAGTTACCCGGTATTTTGTGCTGATGGGAAGTAGCAAGTACTCGGTAGAATAGTCGAGGTGCACGTCAGCTAACCCGAGCACCACCATTGTAAAGAAAAATTGAAAGGAAGCTAGAAAGGTTCATTTAATCTGTACCTCTCCACACCAAGATAATAAAGGAACCACCTCAAAATTTATAGAGAAGCATTCCTTTCAATTTTGCACTACTAGCCACTGTGATGGTAACTACCTAAGATTTGACGTTTTCGTGAAAATTATCGATGTCAACTTAGGGTATGATTTCAAGTAGTTTCACCCAGTAAAGCTTTTAACAAGTAACTACCAGCCACAGATGTAAGATCGATATTTGGTCAGCTGCTATTATCAGTATGCCATGGATAATTTATCAGCTAAAACAAAAAAGGTACGGAATGGAGTTAATGACCATGCCATCAAATTTTCATTTTTAATTTGATGGAGTTGGAACTCGCCAAGTCTGAGGATAATTTTTATAATGTTAAACGAACTTCCACTAGTATCTGACATTATACAGATTACGGCGTACTTCTAAAAGCAGGATACTACCTGAGGGGATTGTTTAATGTGGTATGTTCTCCCTCATTCCTGAAGTGATTTACACTAGAGCATTATCATAATTTACAGGTTCGAATACATCGAGCTATTGCTAAAATAGTCATAAACTTGAATTTGCATCTATACACATGTGCGTGCGAGTTTTTTCTGAAAGAGCATTTAGCTGAGACAACTGTGAGAAAGTTGTAGGGAGCCAAAACTGTAATAAAGAGAAGCTCTAAAGTCTCAGCAAAATTAGTATACTCGTTGATTCTCTTTCCCCTCCTCATGGATAATGTAATTATATTCTCAATTATCCAGAAACTTTAACTTATGATTTGGCAAATGACATTAGGTGCAAGAAAAGCAAGAATTAGATAGATGAGTAATGCTGGAGCCTTTGATCATTTACATACCTCAAGTTGTTCATGAAGCTGCTTTTGGACTTCCATTTGCATTCTTAGCGCTTCTGTTATCCCCATAGTCCTATAACCAGAATCCAAATAGAGTTTTAACAATTGGTTACAACAGAAAAACAACTTCAAGAGCTATCCAGGAAATCAGATTTGTGACCAGAATTAAATTAGAATTTAACTGCTATCAGAATAACGCCCTATGTTACACTTTATGACCTTTTATTGGATGCTTCCTAATGGAAAGACATGGACAACCTTTTGCTTATGTGATATCATGTTTTATGTTATGCCCCACAATGAACAGATATCCCAGAAGTTTGATGGCTGCATAACTATAGATACGCATAGTGTGAGAGAAAAGACTCGCACGTTGATGGATGTAAAAGTTTATCAGGAAATCAGAGAGTAATTTCTACCTTCCGATGGTTCTGGTTTGTATCTGGCAGTTCTATATTTCTGAAATTCAAAACGAAATACATATTGTAAATAAATTATTACCCCTCACTGCAGTAGAGAAAAGTTAATGAGGAGAGTTATTATACCTGCAAGTGGCTTTTGACATGATAGATGGTTAGGCCTTCAACATTCATGAGCTTCAAGACACCCTTTGGTGTAGCTTCTGTAAAATCAAGCCATGAATCAGATATAATAAAGTTAACCTGAACTTTTACTCCTCCTAACCACTAAAAAACAGAAGAAGAAAAAAAGCTTTGAAACAAAGAGGGCACGCACTTTCGCTACCACCAAGCTTACTGACAGCTTCTACAAAGACTTCGTGAAGCTCAGGTGTCCAACGCATACGAGATTTCGTCAGCGCTGTGGAAGATGACGGGCTACCAACTGGGCAACTTTGCCCGGAAGGTGCAATTGGAGGAGGTTGGGGCTGAAAAGCGAGGACTTCAGATGCTCCCAGCAGCTACAAAAATTAGAAATCAAAGCCAAATAAAGCAGAAAGGAAACAAGGACATATATAATATCATGCTAATAATTGGAGTTAATTGGAAATAAAGGACTAAACCTATGAATGGTTTCGAAACTAGTCCCACTAATATGGTGGCCAAAGGGACCACTACCGAGACAGCTCAAAGAAGTGAAATACACATCTTTTTCACTTTTAAAGTCCTAAGTGTATATACACTCAATCTAACTTAAACTTAAATCTGTTTGTGTAACAACGATTTTAAATTTTATTTCGTGTACATAGAACACAAAGAGAGGAATAGGCAGAACGACACTCCAAAGTACAAGAATATGCATCTGGAAGGTTAAGCTTGGGAACCTAACACCTTTTGCTTTTGGCAATGTTACCTTGCTAAAAGCGGGTGTCAACAAGCAGCTCCTACACAGCTCGACATAACAGAGGAACAAAGTCAAGCAGCTCCTACACAGCTCGACATAACAGAGGAACAAAGTAATGAAATGGAACAGAAGCACAAAGAAAGGGGAGTAAGAACGGGTTATGACAAAAAATGTTAAGATGGAGCAAGAAGTGAACTAAATCTACATTCACTGCTGTCAGTTCAGGTCTAAGCTAAATTAGCATTTCTCAAGAATAAGTCCAACATCTGGCAGCATGTAGCATAATATTATCAAGAAAAGATGCCATAATTTTTCCGCTTGGGAACATAAATTGAGGACCATAACCTCTAGTCAGCATAGAAGCGCGTCAGATACGGAACGTTAGCATTAAAGGTTAAAGAACAAACCTTAGGTTCTGGATCTAGAAGATTGACATCAACTAGGTGTTCAATCCAGCTTGAACCCAAAGCATCATCGTTAATTAGCTGATCAGCCCATTCCTGCCAATCAGGTCTCTTAGTCTGGTCATCAGATGCCATGACAACTGGAAGGTTTTCGACTTGGCCATTCTGAACAGAAACATTCGTAGGAAAATCAGTCGAGTCATGATATGCATCTTTGCTCCAGGAATTATTGTTGTTTCTCATGGGGTAATTATCCAATGATGCCGAACATAGACTCGAGAGTGAAGATTGGCAGGTTGTTGCAGAAACTTCACTTGAAATAAATGGATAGCTACGTGGCCTACTTTCTTGAGAAGAGGTTGGAGAAAAGTGAATATCTTTGTGGGGTCCAGAAGTGGAAGATAATAGATGCCCTACTGTTCCACCGTTAGATGCTGATGGGATTGCCCGTGAGGAAATGAGGTTTATAGATTGCTCCTTTTCTGTGAGCACATGCAGAGAATCTGGCAATTTCAGATACTTCTCTTCCGATGACGGCAAAATGGATAAAGATGTCGACATAGCTCCAGATATACCCATGTTATTGTGCTGTGCTTCACTAGATCTTTGAATACATAATGCACGGCGCATGTTCATTTTTTTCCATAAATTGATTTAAAAACTTTAAGATTAACAAAACGGCTTCAACCAACTACTTTGCTTCTCTCAGTCAAAAGATGAATTCTAAAATGACGGTTCTCAACCTTGTACACCGTATATCTGTGGCCAGAAAAGACAAATCTTACATCAGTGAAATTGGAGTATGACTGAAACTGATGGAAAAATTATAAAAGTCACGTGTTTATTAATTAAAGAATTTCACATGCTTTACTCCATTGGTCCCAATCTATTTAACATAAATTAACTTCTACGGACAAACTTTGATATCATGAATACTCGTTTTCTTTAAAATTTAAGATCTTCAGAACTCAAGGGCGTGTTTATTTTAGACACATAATGATGAACTCCTGTTAAGCAAAGTAACTAGTGCGACAACAAGAACTACAACTCTCAACTCCAAACTAGTCGTGATCAGCTATATGAATCCTCAATATCAATTTCACTCTAGTTGGACCCTTTTTTACTTGTTACTACTCTACATTGTTTACTGATATACAAATCCTAAACAAGCAAGTTAACTAGTAACCTAGCCTAAAATTAAAAAAAAAAAAAAAAAAAGAAGAAGAACTATAATTGTAACTAAACGATCAATAATACCACCTTTCAATAATCAATTAATACCACCCACCTCCGTCAACAGAAAAGGAAAATGAAGTTGCTCCACCCC